CGTTAAAAACACACCGTAGTAACAATAACGTCTCTCGGCGCGCGTAGAGTATACATATATAAATATATATATATTATATATATAAAATATATAAATATATATATTTTTTGTATTTTACTTCTACCTCTTCTGTCTTCTTCTCTTTCCTCTCTGCTCTCCTTCCTCTCTTCTCTCTCTCTCTCTTTCTCTCTCTCTCTCTCTCTCTCTCTCTCTCTCTCTCTTATCTCTCTTGGCTGCGTTGGATTGTATTATATTGACTGTATGTGGCATGCTGAGGGCGTGTACAAATACGAAATAAAGATGAAGTAAATCACGATGTGGTGAGTACTTCCTCCGTCGATTTCAGAGATCACGGCACAGGATAATACCAGGATAGAGCTGCGATCACGTCACGACCATCCAGGGTTGGGGAAGTTACTTCATAAAAGTGTCTGGTTACAGTTACAGTTTTTTTTTTCGCTAAAAATGTAACCAGTTACAGTTACGCGAAAAGTAACGAGTCGATACCTTGCAGTTACTTTCTTGCAATGAAACTACAAATATCAAACAGAGTCGCCAGCGATTGAGTAAAAATTGAAACGAAGCTCCTTGTCGATCCAACTGGCAACATAGTCGATATGTTGCAATGGTACGACGTTCCGAGTCGTAAATTATAGATTATACAGGGTTTTATATATACAAATAAATAAAAATAATATAAATTAGTTGCTGCTTCTCGAAAAAGTGTAACTGAGTTAAGTTGCAGTTACAGATGGACAGAAAGCGACGCAGTCTGTTGTTGGCTCTGTTTCACGCAGGTCTTTCCATCCTTTTTGACGAAAAATTCGACTATATAATTTTTATTTAGCCTCGTTATACTGTTAGCCTGTGATGTTCAATTAACAACTTTAGTTACATACATATTTATAATGTATATATAAAATCTCCTAACAGATCGCTTGAAAAGGACCAAAAACCATGGTCTCTCGAAACATAGGGTTTCTTTTTTAAATAAAGAAAAGAAAATTTTGGACCAGTTATGGTCAAATAATAAAGTAAACTTAATTTGAGGAAGTAACGAAGTTAAGTTAGAGTTACCAAAGTAACTGAAACCGTAACGAGTCACTTTCCAACCCTGCGGCCATCTAATTCCGTTGTTATTCCCTTCAGTTTTGGAGCGCATCGCCACGCCGTGTACCAGACCGCTTTGTAACATTTTCGTCAAGTTTTGACGCGCCGGCGCTCGCCGGCGACGACGTCGTCGCCGTCCGAAGAGCGCAGGTCCGCGCACCGAGTTGACGGTCCACGAGGTCGGGAGAGAGACGCGGAGGGCGTAGCGCTTCTCCCGACGCGTCTCTCTCTCTTTCTCTCTCCGTGCAGTAGTCGACACAGCATCCCGCGGGTGGTCGCGATCGAAGTACCAGAGGCGGGAGA